GACACACACTTGGAGAGAGGGAATCCCAGATGCTGGTTTCCGTTAGTGCAGCGGCCCTGGGTGTTTTATTTTACGATGATGCAGTCTTAATATAATATCACATTCCTACAATTACTCAAAAAATCACAGTCAGCAGGAAGCAATAGAATAGGACAGGGCCTATAGACAGGAAGATGCTCCACCAGTGAGCTGTGGCCTTTTCTCTAAAAACAACCCAAGACTCTAGCCCTCATCGCTCTGAATTAATGGCTGGTTTAAACAGGAATATAGGAAACTGGCTTATACTGATCAGGCTGAGGCAGGTGCTCTGATACCCTTTCCCTGCTGGATCGAGGAGATTCAGTCCTCAGCACAGGAGTTTGGGACCTTTGCCCCCCCGCCGTCCCCCAGTTGCTGTTGAACTCCATCTCCCATCAGTCCCAGGCCAGCAAGGCCAACAGCAAAGGCTGAGGGGTGCCTTCATACAACAATACCTGGAGATCCGTCATTCCCCCACCTGCTCCAGAGGACAGCCGCATCCACTGACTTGCTCATGGGTAGGCAAACTAAGGCCCGGGGGCCAGATCTGGCCCAATCGCCTTCTAAATCCGGCCCACAGACGGTCTGGGAATCAGTGTGTTTTTACATGAGTAGAATGTGTGCTTTTATTTAAAATGCATCTCTGGGTTATTTGTGGGGCATAGGGATTCGTTCAAATTCCTCCCCCCCAAAAAAAAATATAGTCCGGCCCCCCACAAGGTCTGAGGGACAATGGACTGGCCCCCTGCTGAAAAAGTTTGCTGACCCCTGGACTTGCTCTTTCCATCCTATCAGGCGGCTGCTAACTAAAATTACAGGAGAAGAGACTGGAATGGAATCATAGAATTGTAGAACTCCAGGGTTCATCTAGTCCAATTAGAATCACAGCTAATAAAGGAAAGGAAAATGTCGAGCAACCCTGCTGCCAAGGGGCAGCCCGGAAAAAGGCCTGCGTTTGCACGTTGGCAGAGACAAGAGGACTGCCACCTTTTCATCGTGCAGGGCTCAGTGCCCTCAACCACCCCAGAATAAAGCCCACACTCAGCTTGACAACAGCGCCCCCTCCCCAAAGGCATTTCCCTTCCCCTTCCTTAAGCAGACTTTCCCATCTCCAGGTTTTCCAACGCACAAGACATCTCCAAAGGGGTGCAATTTCCATCTTGCCACAGCGGAGATGTTTGCAGCGATGGTGAGGATGAGACTCAGCCTGGAAAATTGGCCGTTTCCATCCTCTCGCCTGACTCGCCTGGACCCAAAGCTCATTAATAACATCCCGAGGTCCCCGGAGAAGCCAGCTCTCTTTCGAACGGGTGGGCAGGGCGGCTGCAATTTCTCAAGATCGATGTTGACTGCGCATGGAAGGAGCTGACCCTCCCAGCGGTGAACGGAGAAAGCAATTATGTGGAGGGAATATTATCCTGGGAGAAGAGGGAGGAAGGGCTATAGGCAAGCCAGCTAGCAAAGCTTGCGGAGTAACAGCATTCCATGCCACCCCAACGGTGAGAAACTCCAGGGCTTCCCCAGAGCTCTGTTTCCTTGGAATGAAGGACAGCAGAGCACTCAGGGGCCACTTTTAACAGGGGTATGGATGGAGTAAGCAGGAAGGAATGGGTTGTGTGGGTGATGACAACAATCTCCGGAGGAGGAGGAGAAAGCAGGGAGAGAAGAGAAGCAGGCAGTGAGTCAGAAGCGACAGAGGGGCAGCCAACACAGAAACCTCCGGCACTCACCCACGCAGGGAATACAGGAGGCAAGAGGGGAGGGAACGGGAAGAGGGATATGCCTAGAAGGAGCTGCTGGGGGCAGCCACCCGGCACCGGAGGCAGGAAAGCCAGAGAGATTCCCATCCCACGCACAGAAAGCTGCCTCACACCAGGTCAGATTATTGGAGCATCTAAGCAGGACACGGCTGGCGCTGTTGGTTAAACCACAGGGCCTAGGACTTGCCAATCAGAAGGTCGGCGGTTCAAATCCCCACGACGGGGTGAGCTCCTGTTGCTCGGTCCCTGCTCCTGCTCACCTAGCAGTTCGAAAGCATATCAAAGTGAAAGTAGATAAATAGGTACCGCTCCGGCAGGAAGGTAATCGGTGTTTCCGTGCGCTGCTCTGGTTCACCAGAAGCGGCTTAGTCATGCTGGCCACATGACCTGGAAACTGTACACCGGCTCCCTCGGCCAATAAAGCGAGATGAGCGCTGCAATCCCAGAGTCGTCCACAACTGGACCTAATGGTCAGGGGTCCCTTTACCTTTTAAGCTTAGTATTATCAGCACAGACTGGCAGCAGCTCTCCAGGGTTTCAAGTAGGGAATATTCCTAGCCCTTCCCAGAGATGCCACAGGGGTGTATGTGTTGAAGCTGGGGCATTCTGCACACCAAGCAGGGGCTCTGCCACTGTAATTTGCAGTATCGACAGAAAATGGTTATAGGCACCTGAGGACACGTGGCAACTTGTGCAATGATAGTAAAGGTAAAGGGACCCCTGACCATTAGAGTCGTGACCGACTCTGGGGTTGCGGCGCTTATCTTGCTTTATTGGCCGAGGGAGCCGGTGGAGTGGTGTTGTTAAATATGGTCTACTGCTGCTTGTGAAAATAAAAATAAAAAATAAAAAAATATTTGCAGGCAGGAGAAAATATTAAGGGGGCTTCAAGGAAGCAAACACCAGCCATCCTTTCTCCTAATGCAAAGCTCTTCCGGTTCACAGAGCCTGCAGTATTTTGCAGAAGTGCATCCCAGGAAACAGAAATAGACCAAGGCGTTTTGTCGCCTTAGCACCACAAATCCACTTCAACCACACTGAACTTTTTGCAGTTAGGAAAGTGACAGGGGAAATGTGCCGGAAAGTGTGGGACAAACAAGGGATTAATGAGAAGATGCATAAACACCCTGGAAGCAAATCAGAATGATGTGGGATGAAGACCCCCTATGGAATCACTAATCCGGTGTTTGAAAACGTTCAGAAAAGGGCAACCACCATGATCAATGGGGTGGAGCGACTCCCCTATGAAGGAAAGGTTGCAGCGTTGGCCTTTTTAGGTTAGAGTATGCTAAGAGTCAATGCAATAGGAGTTTATAAAATTATGCATGGCATGGAGAAGGCGGATAGGGAAAAGTTTTCCCTCCCTCTCTCATAACACTTGAACATTTGGACATCCAATGAACTGGAATGTTGGGAGATTCAGGACAGATTTTTTAAAAAGGACTTTTCATAGCTCAACTATGCTCAAAAGAAGTTTGGACAAATTCATGGAGGAGAGGGCTATTGATGGCTATCGGCCAGGACTGCTAACTCTGCCTCCGCAATGTTGCTTCTTGAACACCAGTTGTTGGAAAACATAGGAGGGGAGGGGAGGGCAGGGGGAGAGAGCTCCTGTGACTGGATCTCACTTGCAGGTTTCTGGTTGGCCACTGTGAGAACAGGATGCTAGGCTACATGTGCTCCCTCTGGCCTGATCCAGAAGGCTCAAATTATGTTCTTAAATGCTCAGTACAGAGTGGGGACAGTCTGACCTCCACAAACTTTTTGTGCATGCTCAATAGACAGGTCGTTGGGAGGAGCCGCTCCTTGCATCGAATGCCCATGAATATGCCAAATAACCCTGGGGTGCCCCTCAATGGTACCCCCTCTCCCTCATCCCTTCCACCCTTTGCTAAGCAACTGTTCCGATTGCATCCCGGCCAGCTGGATTGGCATCCTGGGTCGGGCAGGAAATCTGATCCTGGCCTGCCCTTCCAGCGCCACCTGTAACGCCTGGCATGGTGGCACTAGCAGGCCCCCTGCTAGACCCACAGGAGTGTCACCCTCCCTCTCCACTGGCTAAATTAAGGCGCAGCTAATTGCTGAGCACTTTCCCCTAATGCGCTCACAGGCGAGGGAGTTAATTGATATTTATGCAGCGCCCCAGCCTGCCACAGGAGAGAACGCTCAATTGTTTGGAGGGCCAGGGTTAAACAAGTCACAGAGATCCACGCGGGGCAGCAAAACCTGACAAGAGACACCCTCCGCTGCCGATGCCTTATGCAAAGAAGTGAGGGGTAAGTCTTTTTTGTGGTGGTGGTGGGTAACCCGAGTAACTAGAGCTTCTTGCAGGGAGTGGACCACCCCCCTACAAAATGGAAACCATAGAACCACTGAATTTCAGAGCTGGAAGGGACCCTGAAGATCATCCAGTCCAACCCCCTGCAATGCAGGAATAGGCAGTTGTCCCGTACAGGGATCAAACCTGCAACCTTGGTATTATCACCACCATGCTCTAACTGTTGAGATTTCCATTCCACCTTAAGGAGCAGACATGTGGAACTGTTGCGTGTCACATGCCTGTTTACATTCCAGCAGAGATTGCTGGGAACTTCCGTTGTGTGTATAGCTTTTGCTTTTCCCCGTTCTCTCTGAGAAGACGAGAGAGAGAGACGACATGTTTTTTCGTCCTGATTTATGATTAATAAATCTGTAGTTGTAGTATGCTTTCACAAGCCTCAAGCCTATTGTGGGAGCAGTTCGATCTGCTGATAGTGTGCCCTGGCTTTGAAGCCGCCCGGGTCACTGATTTACGTCGGACCAGAGGCCGATGGTCTTTGCAGTGGGATGGTTGGAAGGAGACGGTCCAGCTGGCCTCCTGGTCCTCTGCATGTTGACACTAACCAACGGAGCTAACCAACAGAGCTCCTTCCCCACCTGGTTTAAAGGGAAAGTGCCACCCTGCAAAACAAAAGGTGGTGGTCTCTCCTTCATTGGAGGTTTAAGCAGAGGTTGGGTGGCCATCTGTCAGGGGGTCTTGCTTTCGCAGGGGGTTGAGCTAAATGACCTTGGAGGTACCTTCCAACTCTTATGATTCTATGGTCGCAACTTGAGCTGTAGTAAAGGGGCTTGTTTTCATGAAACAAAGATATTCACTGTTGAGCGGAGACATCTGCCCCCACCCACTGGCAAAAGCTCCCCCCCCCCACCTCAGCCAAGAAGAGGCAAGGCAGCCTTACTCACTCTCGTCGGGGTTCGGGGCCGCAAGGATGGCACTGTGCTTCCGCTTCACCTCTTCCACATTCTCCGCGATCTTGTCGATGAACCCTCGGATCTCTTCCACCTGGAGGAAGGAGGCAGAGAGCAGAGAGCTTGGAACGCCCTGGCTTTTGACAAGGGCATCTTCCAACATCAAACCCCGGCATCGCCAAAATAAGGATTTACCACAAGGCCTGCTTCAAAGTCCCTGTTTTAATTTTGAAAGCCCTCAACAGGCTGCTAGTGCTCCCCTGACTTCATAGTTCTCTTTAAAAAGCAGGCCTCTGGTTTCATCCCACAGCAACCAGGGAGGAGGCCTCAGCTAAGCCTTCAATCTTAACTCAGCTTGTATGGGAATAAGCACTACTGAATTCAGTTAAGAATTACTCCAGGGAATGCCTGAAATCTTCTATCCCAATTCAATCCCTGAGAATCTCTGCAGGAACGTTGTTCCCTGGAATTGGTGAGGCTCATTTGACAGCAATGAAACCTTTTTAATGTTTGATGTTTTAATGTTTGATATTTTGTCACTTTATTTCTATTATTATTAATAATAATATTCTGTTGGGAGCTGCCCAGAGTGGCTAGGGAAACCCAGCCAGATGGGTGGGGTATAAATAAACTATTATTATTATTACTATTATTATTATTTGAAAATCTTTGTACTGCCCTTCAACTGTAGATCTCAGGGCTGTTCACAAAACTGGCCCATTCCTGTGGAACACCATGCCACTAGAGATTCAGCAGGTGCCTTCCGTGCCAACTTTTGCCTGCTGAAAACTTTTCTATTCCACTGGACCTATGCAGGCAATTAAGAGTGCAACCTTCTGTAACGGCTAACTGAAGTCTGTTTTTAACTTTTGAATGTTTTCAATGCTGTAAAATATCTATATGAGACACAGCGGTATAAACTGAAAAGGTTCCCCACTTCTCCTCAACCGTTCCCTAATGATCTGCACAGGACTGAAGTCATTTTGCTCTGAGCTGCCGGGTGCAAAACCCCCCCCCCCCCAATACATCTAGTAGCTCAAAGAAGGAGCAAAGGGGCGACTAGTGGGGGGGGGGAGGAATCTGCAGGAAGAGGCCAAAGAATTGACTCTCTGACAAATCTGTGCAACTAAACGGGGTTTCTCACCTGCTCAAAAAACTCGTCCATGAAGCGGTCCCGATCCACTCCGACAGTGACGTCATCGTCATCGTCGCTGTCCTTAGCCTGGAAGACATGAAATGCCCTGAATAAAAGAAACCCTCTTGGACAGACTTCTGAAGGAGAGAAACCCCTGGGACTTTGCACCTTGCAGACTCCTTTGGAGACCACCAAGACCAGGGGTTCCCAAACTTTATTGTGCCACTGCGCCCTTGTTTTCAAGAACTCATCCCCAGTGCCCCCTACCCCACTCCATAAAGAGCACCCTTCAGAACAGCGGTTTGCATGACCCACTAAGGACGATAACACCACACTAAAATTCAGCAACAATTAATTGCACATTTCTTCAAAATCCAACTACGGTATTTAATTAATTCAGCAACATTGGTTACCTTGACCCATCGATGCCAACTTCTCAAAGTCTGAGAGTCCTTTACACCGCCAGCGCCCCCCTGCTGTCACCTTGCCTCTCAGCAGCAATATTTTGGTCGCAAACATCTAGTTTACCGAACAAAAGGTGTTCTTTACTAAGCTACAAGTACATATTGAGATTGTGCTGGAAACGTCCATATACAGGTATATAGCAATCGATGTAGTAATCCCACCGTCCCCCACAGGGGGCAGTACCACCCACATTGGGAACCAGTGATCTAGTCTAATGCTCTGCTCCTTTCATTAAAAACAATGCCAGATTCCAGTCCTCATGGAGCTGAATAAAAGGCTGATTTAAACAGGAACATTTATTCTGATCCTGATCTGATTTGAGGATGTATTTTAATTGATTGTCTGATTTTATGTTAATGTGTTATACATTTGATGTTAGCCGCTCTGAGCCCGGCTTCGGATGGGGAGGGCGGGATATAAATAAAATTTATTATTATTATTATTATTATTATTATTATTATTATTATTATTATTATTATTAACAACAGGTGCTTTATGCTGAGCTGACCCACTGGCCTATTTTGCTCACTATCGCCATACTGAGTGGCAGTAGCTCTCCAGGGTTTCCTCTCCAGTTCCAGCCCTTGGAGATGGCCCTGGGGTCTGAACTTGCATCCTTCTTCATGGAAAGCAGATGCTCTGCTCCTCCTCCCTCCCCAAGGCACCAACCTGGCCCCGAGAGAGCCATCAGAGGATACTATGCAAGCTAGTATCCTAACCATTTCGACACATTAGATGCACCATCATCAAATGGGGAAATAAAAAGCTAAAGGCTCTCACAGGCCCAAATTAGTAATTCACAGCAGAGGTCGCCGGCTGTGACTCTGCACGAGTCTCTGCTCTGGGCTTGCCTCCTCTTTTCAATTCGCTTCCTGTGGGGGGAGGGCATCATCCACTGCACCTCTGCACTGAGTGCCCATCGTTCATGCAACTACTCTCAGCGCAGACAGCAGCCGTTTCCAGACAGGCAGCTCCCAAGCACTAATAAATCATTGCTCTTCTGCATGATGCAAGCAGAATTGCAATAGACCCCATCAGGGACATGGGATATCTCTCCCCCCCCCCAAATATGTTCATCTTGCTGTGCTGTTCCATTTTCACCTATAAACATTTCACCTATAAATGTTGGTGGGGAAGGTCCAGTTTGAGGAAGAATAACTTGCAAGCAATTCTTGATTATTATTTTTATTGTTTCAAAAAAAAACAATAATTAATCAAGCACTATGCACTTGTTCATTTTAACACAAATCCCTATTACTACCCATGAAATGTAAAAAAAAAAAAAAAGCTGAAACAAAAGTATAGATTTCTGCTTTATTGGGGGCGGGAGTTGCCAAAATGTCCCCCCCCTTTTAATTTTTTTTAATTAGCATTGCCCCCTTAGAGGTAACACACTTTCATTTACATTTTTGAAAATGTAAAAGTAGAGCCAGAAAAGAATTTTGTTCAAAATAAAGAAACACAGAGAGAGAGAGATTAATGATAGTAATGGGGTTATACAATGGCCAAGCTTATAATAAGCAAGTGCCAAATACAGTCCATAGTTTCCTTGGGACACCCTCCAAGCCACACCCTCTCTTCTTAGGCCCCGCCCCTCACCAGCCTTGAGGGTCCATTCCAAGTCTACAATTCTATGATCAGGTAGCAGCAGCACCTGTTGTACAGCAGACTGAGCAGGCATGCACAGGTCACTTGCCTTTACCTGGAGATGCCAGGGATTATAATGTCCGTTGTCGTTTCCCAACGCATAATGCCAGAGTGCATATCAACAACAATCCATAAGATTATAAAAGGTAAAGGGACCCCTGACCATTAGGTCCAGTTGTGACCGACTCTGGAGTTGCGGCGCTCATCTCGCTTTATTGGCCGAGGGAGCCGGCGTTTGTCCGCAGACAACTTCCGGGTCATGTGGCCAGCATGACTAAGCTGCTTCTGGCGAACCAGAGCAGCACACAGAAACGCCATTTACCTTCCCGCTGGAGCGGTACCTATTTATCTACTTGCACTTTGACATGCTTTCGAACTGCTAGGTTGGTAGGAGCTGGGACTGAGCAACAGGAGCTCTCCCCGTCGCGGGGATTCGAACCGCCGACCTTCTGATCAGCAAGTCCTAGACTCTGTGGTTTAACCCACAGCGCCACCTGTGTCCCCTCCATAAGATTATACATAATATAAAAAGGTAAAGGTAAAGGACCCCTGGGCGGCTAAGTCCAGTCAAAGGCGACTATGGGGTTGTGGCGCTCATCTCGCTTTCAGGCTGAAGGAGCTGGCGTTTGTCTAGACAGCTTTCCGGGTCATGTGGCCAGCATGACTAAACTGCTTCTGGCGCAATGGGACACCGTGATGTAAGCCAGAGTGCACGAAAATGCTGTTTACCTTCCTGCCACAGCGGTTTATCTACATGTGCTGGTGTGCTTTCGAACTGCTAGGTTGGCAGGTGCTGGGACAGAGCAACGGGAGTTCACTCGGTCGTGGGGAATAGAACAGCCAACCTTCGGATCGGCGAGACCAAGAAGCACAGTGGTTTAAACCACAGCGCCACCAGCATCCCTAAAGACTATACATAATATACCGTATATGAACCCTAAACCCTCCCAGATCATGCTGTGTGGCTGAGACCACCCCCTTTCTCCCCGTCTGACTCCCCTCCAAACACCCCAGCCTTGAAAGCTCGGATGCTGAAAGGCAGGGTGCATACTTAGAAAGTAAATAAAAATAAAACGAATCTGACAAGTGTGACACCTAAAAGCAAAGTTCTGGAAAGCATCCAAAAGAATTAATGCAGAGGAACATCAGCTAAGCTAGGATCCTTGGAACTAGGTACGCTTGGAGAGGATGGGTGGGTGTTTGCAAATGGGTGGGCGGGCTCAATCCTCGCGCGCCTGGAACAGCAGCCACCCCTCGTTCGACACCACTATGGAAAACACACCTGCACTCCCAGCGTCTCCACCCCCCGCCCTGCAATTAATTCCACCTCTCCTATTATGCCCTTTTTATCTGCTATTGTTTCAAACCGGGGCCTTTTTCCACAAACAGCAGCTGCCAAGACCCTCCTATGTGGCACACAGGAGACAAGACCACCCCCCCCAAAAGAGAGAGAGAGAGCGCACTTCATTGCCAAGAAGCCCCTTGCATCCAAAATTATGCATGGCTCATAGAGAAGGGAGATGGGGAGAACATTCTCTGCATGAATGCTGGAAGATTTAGGGCAGAGAAAATGAAGTACTTCTTCAGGCAGTGCATGGTTAAACGGTGGAACTCACTGCCCCGGGATGTAGGACTGACAACCAACTTGGACAGCTTCAAAAGACGATTAGACAAATTCACAGAGGATGAGGCCACCCATAGCTACTTGTCACAATAGCCACAATTTGCTTCCACTGTCAGAGACAGGCTGGCTACAGACTGTGGTTTCTTTGGCACAAAACAAACCCTGATCCCCAGTTTGAACATAAAACAATGCCAGGGATTGCAGATCTGTGTGCTAGTAGGGAGGAGGAAACAGCCCAGATTAGTGCAGTTACAGTCAATCATTGTCTAGGGTTTACTGTGATATGCAAACTGGGTTATTGTCAGTTTCAGTTCCCACCGGTGGGGGGGAGTTAATTACAGTACTTGCTTCCCTGCATTAATGTTCTCTTTTCTTTTCTTTTTTTTGAAAAAATAACTAAATAGCACTATTTCTCCCATTTTAAAAATGAAAAATATAAGGAAATCCCTAATTAACCCCACCCCCTGGTGAGAAGAGAAACTGACAGAGGCATACACCCCTAGTGTGATTAATAACCAATAAAATGGCCAGCACTTGGAAACAGTTTACTTAAACACGCAGGAGTCCAGTGTGTGTGTGTGTGTGTAAAAAAAAATCTCACAAGCATTTGGTGTGTGTGTCCATACCAGACAGGCTGGTGTTCCAATAATTTTTTTTTAAAAGAGGTGATGGGAAGAAAACCACCACATTGCAGAAAACACTGGCTAGACTGCAGCAAGACTTTGACAATGACCTTATCTGGGTGCTCGGGGGGATGGGGGAGTAAGCAAAGAAAGCAAATCCAGAAAAAAGACCTTGAATCTGGAACGAATATTGGACACAGATTCAAAGAGACATGAAACCCTCTATGTGGGGCCTCCCTCGTGCTTGATTCCGGAAGCTGCTGTTAGCAATTGTGCTGCAGCGTTCAGCACAAACAGGGGTGAGTTCTTGTCAGCATATAACTCCTGTTCCTTTGTTGTGTTTGGAACTTAACTGGTTAAGTTGTTCCCAGGATGCCTCAACATTCTGACGTCAGCTGTGGAAGCTGGGAGGAGCCTGGGAGGGGTTTCTGTTCTGTTCCCCTCTGGTCGTTGAGGGAGAAAGACGTAGCCGGTAATGGCTGCAAGGAGCCCAGGAGATTCCTGGGGGAATGTCGGAATAAAGAGCTGAAAAGGACAAACTTGGACTCTGTGTGTGTTTGTCTGGAAGCTAGGAAAAGGACGTGACAGTTTATCACCGCTGTGTTTATCTCTGCTAAGGTGTGACTGGAGCTACCGGACGACGGAGCTGAGTGGCGCAGCTGAGGGAAGCGCGCCGGACCGGGCTGCCATAAATAGCTAATTGAGGACCAATAAATCAATTAGCGGGG